ATAACATCACAAAAAAACTATACAAAAACTACACAAAAAACTACTCACAAACACCACAAAAAACTACACAAAAACATCACAAAAAACTACACTAAAACATCACAAAAACTCCACAAATACACCAGGCCCATCATGGCCACCATCTGGACTTTGAACTGGATGTCTGGAATATGTGACTCAAGAACTGAACCATCCATGAAGATGTGAGATGAAAAGGTTGGATCCAAAGTAAAAGTAAACTCCAAAAAAGTTGTGATGTTGTGTAAAATATAAATGCAACGACTTAACCTCCTAACACTAAAACTTTTATGTTTTTAGAATCATCCATTCGTTTTATTATTGTAGTGACTTTCACCTGTCAAAGGTGCTTTATAAATATTTACTGACAGAGAATAGAATTAAAAAAAAAATTTTTAAGTGAAACATCCCTCTGTATAATTGTTATTTTTTCACTTATTTAAGTTTAAATTGAAAAGGGAAATAGAAAAAACATACATTTTTCCCTGTGTGTTTGTTTCTTTCATTCTGTGTGAACTGGAACCATTTTGCATTTAATAGATTCTAATTGGCTTGAAATAATGATGTCTTTAAGTGAACTGAGATGGTGTTTGTCGAGATTTACCGTCATATTTAGTGGATAAAACTGAAACGAGTTCAAACTCCTACCTGAGCTCTGTCTCTGAGAACCTCAAAGTCGGCCTGGGACAGGAACTGGTTATACAGCACTCCTGAAACACAACACACACAATGAAGAGGCCCCCGGTGTCCCGGGTCCCTGAAGGCATCGTCCTTTTCCATCCATCCATTATCAATACCGCTTATTCCCTGATGGGAACTGGAGCCTATCCCAGTGGTCAACGGGCGAGAGGCAGGGTCACCCTGGACATCGCAGGGCCACACAGAGACACACAAGGACCAACAAGCACACACTCTCACAGTCACTCCTAAGGGCAATTTCCCCAATCTCCAATTAACCTAACATGCAGGTTTTTGGAGGGTGGGAGGAAGCCGGAGAACCCGGAGAGAACCCACAGACACAGGAGAACATGCAGAACCACCCAGAAAGGTCCTGGTTCCCCCGGGACTCCAACCCAGAACCCTCTGGTCCTGGT